CGTAAAAAAACCATGTAGTGCCGTTGCCGACCCCTTGTTCGAGAGCTTGCGACAGACACAAACGTATGCGTGGCGTGTGTCCTCGTTGCTGCTAGGCCAGCCCGTGCTGCATCTTGCTCCCGTTCGGGGCTCCGGCAGAGCACAACGATAGACAGTAGATATTCGCGTTTTTTGTTGTTTTACCTTCCCGCCTTTGTCAGCAGCCTCCGCTTCGCAAAGCGCGTAGAACATCCTCCCGGCAGTCTGTAGTACCTCGTACTGCAGCAGCAACTCAGTGGTGGTTGCGTCCAGGGGGGCTAGCCTCACCCATGCCAAAAGCGGGGGTACTGCTTCGATCACCCTCGTCTGAGCCTCCCCGTACACAGAGCTTCGGCGTCCGAGCAACGTTGATTCTATGTGCGCCGTAACTTCGAAAGCTGAGCCAGCGGACAGGCCGTGTATTTCCTAGGCCACGGGGGTTGTAGGAGTTTAGGGGGGGGGGGGGGGAGGTGTGTTGGGTGCGTGTTAAAACAGGGCCGAAGCCCAGTTTTATCATTGGTTTGTGTCTCGTTTTACCATCCCGTGTATTACCATCGCTCGCAGATTCTTCCTACTACCCTACGGCTTTTTCCTCTCTGACTGAAGAACTCCAATCCGGTGGTACATGTACGCTGAAGATTATTTCCTACGGGAGGCATTCTTCTTTCCCTCAAGCAAGAGTGAAACTGCAAACGAAAACAACCACACTCAATTTTGACGAGGTTCTACCCACGTACGCCTACCATTTTGGGAAAAGTCGTGCAAACCAACTCGCAGCCCTACCTACAACCGGGTTTACGAGCTTGTCAATCTAAGACCACCGGGGCGACCTGCCGCAGTAGCTATTTCCCGTAGTAGACATTTGTGGACATTTGTGGCGTTTCTTTTCTTTTCGAGGCGTCGAAAGTTGCACAGCAAGCCCCCCAGATCAACCCTGGCCGCGGTTACCTAGAGGTCATGACCTCCGCGACGCCTAGTTGGTAAATGCTCGCGACGATCCCTGGGGTTGACCGGCCTAGGTGGTCGATATCCGCCGAGGTGTTGCAAGCACAATCACGGTAATAAACTCCCCGTCAAGCTTCGTTCACCTGTGACCCTTCCAAGGCTGCGTCGGACCCTTCCTCCTCCTCGTCATCACCTGCTGACATGCCCACTTCCACAGAAAAGCCCACGCCATGCTGGTTCCCGATCATGGTTCCGATCAAGGCCAAGGGGTGACCTACCCTCTCGACGAGACTGACATGCACCACACCAGGCTGTGCCCATGTTTAGGTTATCAAGGAAGGGACGGAACGAGGGAACGTCGGTAAAGTTCTCTCTCATTCATATTTTTCCTCTCTATTCAAATTCTCTGTGCGAGTCTCCCCTCTCGCCCCCTTCCCCCTTCCTTCTCTCCTGCTCTCTCTCAGAATTTTCTCGCGCCCGTTCGCTAAACTACTACCAAAAAGACGATTCGAGACTTTCCCCTAGGAGGTATTTCCAGCGGGACAAACTCCCAACGGGCCCATGACAGGACGGTTTCCTCGATCCTTTCCCGAAGAACAAGAATTCCCCGCGACACACGCAACAATGCTGGATGACAACTTTCGGCCTGTGACAAACAGAGCCGCAGCTGTAGCAGCAGTCATGGGCGTACTCTCATAATCGAAGGCATACGAGCTAATGATAAAATGCTCTCGTCTTGCCTCGGAAAGTTTGTACCGCACAATCACGGTCGACGCCTCGGCGTCAGACCTTGCTGCGTCTAGCGTGACGAGCCTGGGTGCTCGCGGGAATGTAGTAGCGGCCACCTCCATGGTCGGACCGTACGCCCCGTTGGAGCCCGGAGTCTCGATCGCCATTGAAATCGAGTGGGCCTGAGACGGTAGGGTACATCAGAAAATTGTCGTGTCTGTTGACGGGTGTACCGGGGCTGAGCGATGAATAATAAGTTCAAGCAGCACTCCGCTGGCGAGGCAAGGTGGGTCATAAACTGAAAACCGGACCGAGAGAGAATAACGGAACGCCACCGCACCTTTCCGGGCGACAACCCGGATACCACATGAGGTGTTAAGCGCCCATCAGCAACCACCGCCGTGCCTTGAGCAACTTGGCGAGGCTTGGCGTTCGCTGGGGATCCCTTGGGCGGCTTTTCGGTCACTTCGTACCTGACGCGGGTGGCGGCGCACATGCGGTGAAACAGACGTGCAAGGCACGTAGAGTATGAGTGTCAAATCTTGTAGGGAGACAAACAAGATATAGACGGTTTTTGCTGAACAGCAAACTATTGTTTCCTCTGCAACCGGGCGATGAAACGTGAGATCATGCTCCTCTGGCAGCAACACAGTTGCCGTTCTCGGGCGTTTTCTTCGCATGATCCTCACGCAACATCGCCGGAGGTATCGCAGTTACCGCCACAATTGCGCATGCTCCTGTTATCCGACATTTTTTCCCGTACCAGCTCCAAACTAGTACTGCTGTCGTTCGTTCTGTCGCACCAACATTCTCTCCGCACCTCAAAATCCCGCAAGCCTCGTGTGTGGGTGCTGAGGAGCAGTCCAGCCTTATCAGCAATGATAGAGAATCGGTAGAGCCATGAACCGGCGTGGCTTTCCAGTCGAGTACTCTTGCCGGCTCTCGGTGGGTCTTGGCTACGGCATAGGCTGGCTGGCTGTAAACGCCTTCCGCGCGCTCGGACACTGCCGATACCTGATACCAGGTGTCGCTCTCCAAATCGCCTTTGATCGGGAGGGGGGTGCGCACGCCTTTCAGACCCTGGTCGATCGGTGAAAGGGGAGAAGAGACGCATGAGAGACTACATGAAAGAGCCCTGAGAGATAACCTAGTTTCGGAAGCAAACAAGTTGCACATGTGTACCCAGTGTGGCTGTGCAAAATTGGACTCAACATGTGTCTGCTTCACGTCAGGGATGACGGCATGGGTGCTGTGGAGTCCTGCCTCGAATTTCTCCGGCACGATAGCTGCAATGTAGCTATGGCCTCGCTTGCTCGCTGGAGGCATGCGAGACATTACTCGCATACACCAAACCGTGAACATTGACATCTTCAGACTAAATAGATCATCGTTTTCCATCTAAACCTTTCCCGGATGCAAACCTTTGACTTAGTTATTCTCTTTTTTGCCGACATATCCAACCCTACAGCATGGCTTTTGCACCATCTTCAACGGGGCTAAGTGGGCATCACCACCCTCAAGGCATTTGCGCTGTGACCACACCCTCTGCTACACTCACCTGTCGAAGGTCCACAACGCTGTCCGGCAGAGCCGCCTTCACTATCTCCTCAGCAGATATTTTTTCCACCGCGAGGAGCACTGAATCTTGCAAAGGTTGTATTGCGTACCATACGCGACAGGGCACGCCAGCAGCGTCCATGGAGAGCGACAGCTGCGTAGCGTTCGTCCGGGCGTCTACCGGGGCTAGGCTCAGAGAGGAGATGTTGGGTGCTAGCATGTTTGTTGACACGCCAAGCACTTGACCAACAGGGCTGAAGAGACCGTTGCTGTTTGCTGCCTACAACAGATTGAGAGGCGAGTCCAGAGGCTGGGGTGAAGAAAATAAGACGGCAGGATATCAAATGGTATGGCGCATGCATACCTGTAGGATACTTTCGCTATTTTCGGTGTCTGTCAGACGACGCCAAATGTTGTGGGATTTCACGCGTTGAAATCCCTGAAGACCTGATGAACACTCCCTTGTTTATTATCTCTTGTAACAGCAGTGCTTGCTGTCGCTTGGCTCTCAATGGAAGACTGAGCACAGAGGGGGAGGACATGCTCCCTCTGAAAGGGGCCACAAGAGTCCTGTCCCCTGTTTTATCCTTCCATCGGGAGTTCGACTACATAATATCCACAACATCGTTGACGCTGGCTACAATTCAAATCCCATAACATATCCAAGTCCATCAGATTTCTGCCCAGCACCACTTTCCAGAGATTGTGAACATTTTGAAATGCACCCCAAAAAATCCCTCCAGGCCAAAATGACGCTTTCCATCCTTTTTTGTGTGCGTTATTCTGGTGCTGGGCCACCTCGATGACGAAGAACACATCGTAAGCCTGCCCGGCAGCCAAGCCATCAATGACGTACACGCTCCGCTCGCTCGCCCGCACGGGAAACGAGCCGTGCTTAGCCACAGTGTCCTTTAAGACCGCATCGTTCAGTGAAGGGGCGACCAACATGTCTGCGGTGACAGCCGCAGGCGGTACTTTCGCCGAAGAGGGGACCGCAACGAAATGGGCATCCCCCAGACCTTCAGCACGACATTTAACGATACGAAGTTGTACAATGTTTTTGCGGGGTGCGGCAACGAGCGTGTGGTTTGAAGGGGACGCCAACACTTGAAATCGCGATGCCGTTCGTATGCATTGCAAACCTCTGTAGAAGGTTGCTCAAAGTGATTCGGTGAAAGGGTGAAATGGGTTCAAATTTTATGTGAGGCGTAACGTCCTTACGAACTCAGCAAGTCATTTTTTATTTGTTTGGCCTACATATATCTGCTGTTGGGCAACTTCGAGCCAACATATTCCGGCGTGCCCGCGTCTTGTCACTACCTCTACCACTATGCAGTAGACGGTATTGCTGCAGACCAGGAGCTGGGCAGAGCGGCTTTGCACTTCATCTGTCGAGCGCCTCTGTCCGACAAGTGTTGCCCCCTCTCGACGTACTTGATTTCACGAATAGAGTCAGACTCAGGGCTTCGGTGGTGCCGGGCTCTGGGACCACCACGTGCGGCAACGCAGTCACCGCTCTCCTATCCAAAGCCGATACGGCCAGCATGGACGAAGTAAACCATGCTGCGCCCTCGAACTTCATCTCTCCCTCGAAACTGAAGACTGTTTACAGCAGTCTAAAGATTTTCGTCGGCGCAGAAGGATCCACAAGAGGCCACGCAGACAGAACTGGTAGTATAGTAGGATATCGATGGAGGGAGGGGGCACCGTGTATGTTCCTCTGTTTGTTGGGTGGAACCAGAGAGTGGAAAGTCTCACAGCATCGCATACACGCGCTCAGGCCAGGGCCTGGCACGTGCCCAGGAAACAGCGTGAGGGCTAGCTTGCCTACGGGCCGATTGAAAGCGTCTACGGCACCCCCAAGTTCGCTTGTACGATTTTTGCCTCGCCCCCCTCAACAGCAGTATACCGCGTTCTCCATTGCTGCGCACAGCAGAAGGAGCCCCGACGTGAGCGAGAGGGCTTGTGTTGCGGGGGTTCAAACGTGGTGCTGAGGACTGCAACAACCCTACTCTTCTGCAGGGAAAGCAACAGCCATGTTTAACTTCTTGCTGCAGGGTAAGGTCGGGGAGATGATGGCACCCGTCCAGTCGCAGGAGGCGCAGCTGCTCATCGCGATTCAGAACAGACAGCAAGACAAGGTGCGGATGGAAGCTGCTGCTGCGGCCGCGTAATACTACAGTTGTACGAACGACAGATAAAGGAGAGAGAGGAGGGGGCTCTCCCACTTCCATCCCCTTCGTCGCTAGAATCGAAACATCAGTCACACGAGAGGCATCTCGCGCGGTAGCCGTATGTGGTCGAAAGCCATTTCCCCCGCACTGTGCTGATGATGTGGACTCTTTCGATCAAGAACAATCACGGCGGGAGTTCGACACAACGCAAGACGTAGTTGTCGGGCACGAAGCCTGTGTTCTGGCAGGACGAGAGACGCGACAGGTCGAGAGCGATGGGCTTTTGCTTTTGGGGCTGCGGCCATTGCAATGCCTCTCTGTGACAAGTTGGAGTTTCACGGCAGCTGCTGCTGTCTGTTGTGTGCCTGCAGCCCGAAGTTGCCAAGATTTTTTCGGCTCAATTCGGAGTGCGTCCGCCTATCGCGGGAGACAGCAGCGTCGTACCTGCGTATCTGCTGCACATCCCTCCGAAACGAACAACAGAGCCCTTGTATTCATCAGTTGGTACTTCTTCTTCATGAGTTTCATATAATTTTGAGATATTTGGAGATAAATGATACAGAAGTGATGCAGAAGAATTCGGAAAGGTGGCCCTTACGCGAGAGACTTTTCGGCCCCACGCCATCTCTCAGCTCGTTCATGCCGATGCATGCATACAACAATAGCGAGGTGTCGTCGTCTGACTTCCCCCGCCCCCTCCCCGTCATGCCATAAGCGGAGTGTCTCTTGCCCCTCTCTGCCAGCCAGGTACACCATCTGCACTTCACCAATGCTCGTCTTGTGCCAGGTTTGAACATTTTGCTGAACGCCAACACCCCCCCCTCCCCGCTCGGCATGATCCCCGCTTGTTGAAACCCTGGCGTTGCCGCCGGCCTGCTGAACGCTCTTCCAAAACGTCGTAGATCCGCGAGCTGCTGGAGGTCAAGGGGGTCGGCGCTAACACCGCCAACGACCGAGGGGTGCGACCGATGCACATGGCATGCCAGACCGGCAACAATCACCTGGTCCAGAGATTGCTCGAGCTCGGTGAGACAAGTGCTTACGATACCCGCCGTGGACATGTGTTGAGGGAGGGAAGAAGTGTAATTTTAATGTGGGCGAATTTTGAAAACAAACGCACGAGGTCCAGAAATTGTACAACAGACACTCAAGACCAGTCGGGAGGCATGGCGAAAAACAAAAATCGTTGATTCTCGCACAGGGCGGCAGTAGGGGCTGCTCAAAAGATACATTTCACGCGTCTACCTCCACAGGCCTCCTTTGAACTCAAGATCAAATTTACTCTATTCTTAATCCAAGTCAAATTGGCCAAAACGGAAGGCCCTCGGATAAGGTCAGTTTTTTAGGGTTAGGTTAGGCATTCTATTGTCAGCAGTAGAGGACATCATGAAGAGGCGTCGTGCGTGCTGGCACGTTCAGGTTTGCTACTGGAGCTGAAATATCGAAGGTCACAGCAGCCTTTGAAACAGTCCGAAATTTGCGCCGGAACCAAGCGGCATCCAACATTTGTCACAGTCCTGCTCGCCGCCACCAATCCCAATCTTCTGAACTACTGGTACGGGTTTACATGACACCCTCCCGTTCAGAGGTTTACGGTCGGTGGCGGCGAGCAGGACTGTGAAAAATGTTGGATGCAGCTTGGTTCCGGCGCAGATTTCGGACTGTTTTCAGAGGTTGCTGCGACCTTCGATATTTGATATTCCCGCTCCAGTAGCAAACCTGAACGTGCCAGCACGCACGACGCCTCTTCGTGGTGTTCTCTACTGACTACAATAGAATGCCTTACCTAACCCCAGCGAGAAGGTTTTCTTTGTGTAGAATTAAAGGATGGGAAAAGAGCTAGCGTCAAAACCCCTGCTCTTTTCCCCCTCAAACCTTCCGGGTGGCCGCGGCCGATCGGTAGCCTGCGCGAGTATATCAAGCTTGGAATTAATGTACTCAAGTGTATTCCATCAAAGAAAGGCTAACGCCCTTTCGAGATTACCGTATATGACACAAGATAACACACCCCCTTGACCGATTTTCGAAGCTCGGTTTCTCAACTGCAGGAACAGTCACAGCGCCGAAAACGGCGGCGTTGAAACCGTCTAGTCGAGAGCTTTTTGAAAATGTATCATTTCGTTTATGCATCCTCTTCGTCGTGGAGTAATCGAGCATTGAACATCGATCCAGGGGGTGTGTTATCTTGTGTCATGTACGGTATACAACAGTAGTCGAAGGGAGTGTGTTGAAGTTTTTGTTGGGTTACCGGCCGATTCGCGACAAGTAGCGGGAGGGTGGGCATTGATGAACGCCGAGTGGCACCCCTGCCAATGCTGCTCTGTCTCGGGCACATGGGGTCCTCAAGGCACAGACGTAACCGGATGTTCAGCTCCCGGCATTGCATGCGCACGGTCAAGTGTCGGGCACACTGCTTGTGGCGAGAGCGACTCGTGTGCTCTTGTGTTTTGGGTATTCCCGTGGCTTCTTGCCGATCATGCATCTTGGCCATCACGATTCATGTTGTTCCTGCTCTTCAACGCGTAGTTGCGATGAACAACGAGCAGGAAGCACGAAGAGCGATGGTCGAAGATTGATGTTTGGTAAGCAGCAACGGGGATCATCTAACACTAAAAGCACATTCATCGCTCTTGGCACAAGCAGCCGCCGCTCTGAACATCAGGGCTTGTGCACGACAAACCATGTGCAAGCCGGGAGCGGATCCTCCGGTTACGTCTGACAGCCATGCCTCTCTGTGTCCAAATCCCACCCTACTGCCCGTTAGAATCACGTTCAACGACATAGAGGGGCAACAGGCCTGAACGTGCAATAGGTGTCACCACTGATGTTATATCTTTCACAAGAAAATATATATTTTCTTCTCCTCGCTGCCTGTGGCGCCGTCTTGCGAGGGGTTGGTTCTCAACTTCACGTCGAACTGCTGTTTGTATGCTGCGATGTCTGAATCTCACAGGCGCGGACATAATCACCGCAGACAAGGCGGGCAACACCCCCCTGCACTACGCCTCCAAGGGGGGGCACACGGACATGGTTAAGATGCTGGTGGGGCAGGGGGCGCCCGTGGAACAGCGGAACAGCTACAGGCTGACGGCCTACGACGTCGCGACGGACCACGTCATCCGCCAGTTTCTCCTTCCACTCCAGCTCAAGGTACAGCGCGCTTCTCCGCCAGCCGTTGCTGCTGTGTCAAGGCCATTTTCCTTTGTTTCGCATGTTTTTGGTCTTACGAGGTGTGCTCCGTTGTGTGGTTTCTTGGACTATGTTTTCTGCGTCATGACCGGGAACGCTTTCTCGGGGCCTTCGTCCCGGATAAAGTTTTTGAAGCTTGACCATTCCATGACGGAAGAGCATGTAGAATATATCGATACACTTACGGAAAACTCTCGAGGAGACGGTTCCAATACCGCGATTGTCAGCAACGCCACTTTCCTATTAACCCTAAGTAAACACCGGGCCACGTGATACCTGCTGTCACGTACATTACCTCACTGGCTCACGTGCCTTTGGTCAACTGTTTTTTGCAGCATATCGTGATAGTTCCACGCCCAGCTAGATCGAATTCGAGGCTCGATACCTCCGCAGCTGCACCACGCCGTCTGCGTCAAACGTTGAAAAGGGCATCCTTCGAAGAACATTCCGTCGAGGACTTTCTAAACATGCAGCCGTCCGTGCTGCAAGCGCTCTGTCGACGACCTTACAGGCATCTTGTCAAGCAGAACATCCCTCGCCTTTCGATCCCCACTTCCTCATGTCGGAACCCACTTCGGTGTGCCCAACATCTCTTATCTCGTACAGGCCGAAGCCGGCAACCCGGACTACGCTGTCAACACGATGGGAATCACCTCGGACGCTGCTCCGCGTAGCTACGAGCATCACGGCGTCCCGGGCATGGGCAGCGGCGGCGGCGGCGGCCATCCCTACGGCCAGCAACAACAGTATGGGGTAGGCGTCGGCGAAGGAGGCGCTAGTAGCATGGACGCTGCTCTCGGCGCGTTGATGCAGGCGCCGACAATGGTGCCCCTCGCCCCGCGACCCGGCGCGGGCATGGCGGGGCCGCCTCCCATGGGTATGGCACCCCCCCCGGCGGCGGCGGCGGCGGCGGTATACCCGCCGGGACCCGCGGGTTTTCCCGGCGCCCAGCAACCCGGGTCGTATTCACCGCCCGGCGAAGGCGGCGGCGGCGGTGGGTACCCCGCCCCGCCTGGCGCTTCGCCCCCTGCTGCGACGGGGTCCTTGCCTCTGCCGACGCCGCCCGTCGGGGGGGGGGTGCCTTCGACGTCCGCGGCGCCCCCGGCGGCGCCGTTCCCCGGGGCCGGCGTGGCCGCGATCACTGCCACGACGCCTGGAGCGGCGGCGGAGGGAAAAACCGAAGTCGCGTCGCCGGCCCCCAAAGGGGACCTCGCCGGGACCGGACCTCCTGATGCGGCCGCCGCCGCCGCCGCTACCGGCGGCCCGCGATCGTTCCCGGGGGTCGCCGTGCAACTCGCGGCGCCGCCTGCGGCGGCGTCGGCGGTAGCAGGAACCGGTGGCTCGCCGGCCGCGGCGCCGAAGGCCGGGGAGGATTTTTCGGGACGGCCACCTTTCGAGGACGAGAGCCTGCGACCCGGAGCGGAGGCGAAGGCGAACTCGAGCAGCAGCCCGGGAGACGGCCCCTCCTCCCCGCTCATGTCCACCGTAGACCTCTCGTCGAAATTTCAGGCCCAGGTGGCCGTGTCGGGGGCAGGAGCCGGGGCGGCGGCGGTGGAAGGGTCTTTCGTGGGCGGTGGTGGGGCAGGAGCTCCCCCCGTTGCCCCCCCGCCGCCGCATGGGTCCGAGCCGAATTGCGCGACGGCGGGGGCGGCGCCACCGCCATCTGTACCTCCGGTGAGAGTCGAGTCAGGGCCTGCGGGGCCAGCAAAAGCTTTCTCTTTGTGTTCGACAGTGCGGTAGCTGTTTCATGGGAGGGCGTGGAGTAGGGTGGTCGGTCGATCCATCTTATGTATGTAGTAAGTACGAAGGTTTCACAGGACGTGTGGCCTTTGGCTGTGGAAGCGCGAGTCAAGAGTAGCTTTGTCTACACTGAAATTTCATCTCGGGAGGCGTTTTATTATGTGCTTCATGGGCGCGGAGTGGAGCTATGATTCCTTGGAAACAATACGATTGACCCGGTGTGTCCCTCCCGGCTTTTCTTTTCGTCGGCTAGAGTTACCGAATGCCGCGATCGAATCGTTCCAAGTGTTTGTCCAGCCTACCACACGGGAGCTCTCCCAACCTCCGCCTTCGCTCACCAAGCCATTAGCAACTTCCTCAGGGCAAGGTTGTTCTTACCCACAATCCCGTTTGTCTGGCGCGTATGTTGCTCTCCTGCTTGTTTGCTGCAGGGTTCGCTTGGGCCGAGCGCGTCCGGGCCGAGCCAGCCGCCGCCCGCCGAACAAACGGGGAAGAAGTTTAAGCTCATCAAGCCGGATGGGTTCCACTCGAGCGCATCGGACAAGGTGCTGCAGGCTAGGTGAGCCAAAAGTGTGTTGGTTGATGATTGTGGCGAATGCTTTTATCGACTGTTGCTCACGTTTCGTGAAAACCACTACTTCTATTTGATAGCTGGTGGTCACAGCAGCGTGCTGGAGCTGTTGGTAGATTCGGGAACACGAAACCCGGAAGTAGCGCGACTAAGCGGATGATTGGAAGGGAATTTGAGATACCGTACGTCGTGATCCAGAGGGTCGGTGCAACTTGGAGTGAAGCTGGTCTTGAGATGCCGCGTGATACAGATGAGGGGGGGCTTTCAGGTAGATCAGGGGGGCTTGTCAGCTGCACGGGTGAGATGCACCGGATGGATGGCTCGGCGAAGCACAATTGAAAAGAGATGGAAGACGGGTCGCTCTCGATGAATCCGGGTATTGGGCCAATGAAGTAGGTTTACAAAGAGAATTACCCACCTGTCCGGTGTACACTGCTGTATCTTTGGCTGAAGTCTCCGGTATGTCGCCAACAGGATACGCCCCTCCCCCGTCCCCGTCCCTTTCTCGTGCGAGGTCAACGGTCTAACGACTACGGCATTCACTATGAGTCCCCCCCCCCCGGTGTTTGCCATCGGGGTTGGGTTTTCGTCGCTTGGCAACGACGTTGTAAAACAAGCCAATTCACTTCGTGAACTCGGCAACCAGGTTACCGTTTTTTTTTGTTACCTCCGTTTTTTTTTTGGCGGTAACCATAATGGTGGTCGAGTAGATCATGTTGTGCGGGGTTGGAGAACCCTCACTCCGCGCAAGGGGGATGATCGCACCACGTTGGGCTAAAATGGTCAAGCACCCTCGAGGCAGTTACACAGTGATTACAACTGTCTCAGGAAGTGAAAGCACCAGAAAATAAATTAAGTCATACGCAGCTGTCATCCGTACGCAAGGAAGTGAGCACAAGATGCCGAAAACCCTTAGCAGGATGCAGCGTACCCTTCATGCGACTCGCCGAATATCTCACGGCGCTTCGCGCTTGGTGATGTGAGAGCCTGGTCCGGTGAGAACCCGGCGTGCTCCGTCCCGGCTTTGTAGGGATGCGGGGTCAATGGTCTAACGACTACGGCATGCACGACTATGAGTACCCCCCCCCCCCTCCCCTCCGTCCCTCCGTCGTTCCACAGGTATGGCCATACCAAGATCGTGAAAGAGTTCGGCGCCCCCCCAACAGCCGCTCAGCTCGGCGGCGCGAAGGGGGGTTACATGGCCGGTCCGCCGATGCCCCTGCCGGGGCCGCCGCCGAACATAAACGGGTACGCTCAAAAACCCCAGCGTCAAGCTCAGTACGGCATGATGCCGCCGCAGCAGGCGGTGGGGGGAGGACAGGGGCACTACGGCCAGCCGTTTGGCGCGCCGCCGCCACCGCCGCCGCAGGCGGCCCCTCGAGGGTACCACCAAGCCTCGCGGCCGTCGAACGTAGGTGATGGCGGGGCTCCGTCTAGCGGTGGTGGTGGTGCCCCGCTGCCGACGCCGGGGGGGTACGCGTACCCACCGCCGGCCGCCGGGG